ATATTCATTCCACAAATAGCTGTGTGACCCTGAATTCTAATTCTTTTGTGTGTGACAAAATTTGGGTTGTGGTTAAAATCCAGAGCTGGGTTTGGTTAACAGAGTGCCAAGACTGGCCAGGCTACTGATGGAGAAAGAGGCCTGTGTTCACCAGACACCTGCCATGTTCTCTCTTTTGAATGTGGCCAAAGTGCATCAGAGGTTTTTAGAAAAGGTTATTAGTGCAAGCTTGGGTGAGCAACTTGAAACCTAGGTTGGTTTTAAAGGCAGAGCTTCATCATATCAGTTGTGCCTCTTCTTTTCAGGATTGAAATGCAAACCTCTAGAAACCATAATTTTGTTAAAAATTGCAAAAGGGAGAAATGCTTGGTGATTTTAAAAATTGTTTTTATTGGAAGCAAACCCTGGCAGAATGTTTCCCAAAAGTTGTCAAGGCCGGGTGGCTGCTGGGAAGCGGTGGCATCTGTCACTGCAGTTATGCAAATCCTCTCCTGTTAGGGCCAGAGCTTGGAGGGGAGACACACGGCTGCATGTTGGCAAAACAGACACCGTATGCTACCACCCGCGTTTCTCCCTAATTTATTTTTACCATTTTCTTTTATGGTCTTCCACTAGACGCACTTCCCAGGGAGTTCCTTTACAGGGCAATGCAGAGAAATTAGCATTTACATCATATTTAACAGTTTACAATGAGTTCCTCCACCCACACATAAAACAACGTGCTTTTATAAGGAAAACATCAATGTGAGAATGAATATTTCCACATATGGGGTCCTCATTTAGCTGACGTTTAGACTCTTTGATGGTTTAAGAGGAAAAATGGAGTTGGCAAAAGGCTTTCCAGCTCAAGCCAGGGTGCCCAGCCCTCTGCACCCAGCCACTGGGATGCCTTTGGGAGAGGTGGGCTGAGCTGGATTTGAAGACGCAGGGCCGGGGCAGTGGGAGGCTCCGACCCTGGATCACCTCTTCCACCTCCTCCTTCTGCTGTGTCTTTGTTGCTCACCCCTTACACCCCTCACCAAATTTCTTGAGTTCTCTCTTCCCTCCCTGCTTTTTGCACTCCTGTCTTCCTCTTGTCTGATCAACCGTATCTACTGAACACCTACATTGATCCAGGCTCTGACCTGGGAGCCGGCATGACAGAGGAGAGTCAGACACTCTAAACTTTTTTAACCCATGACTTTTTTAGGCATATAAAATACATGCACAACCAGATGGACTGACTTTTCCCTCTTAAACTACATAATGTTGAAATCATTCAGGAACCTCAGGTGGTGGTGACCTGTAATGGCCCAGACGAGGGACAACAGACTCTGACCTGGAGTCTAGCCCTGCCATCACTATGGTTAAGGCATCCTCTCTTTTCCCTGTTAGCTCTCGGTCTTGTTCTACTCAGAGGTTGTTGAGTACTGATTGTCAGGAACTTTGTTTACATACTCTCATCTCATCCTCAAAACAACTCATATTATCGGGGAGAGAGGCAGAGCGGGAGCAGGTTTTGTCGCTTGCCGTGCAGGCACTGACCTGCTCTATGCTGGGATTTGCTTCACTGCAGCCCATGCAGACCTTCCCAGAGCTGCTCATTGTGTCTGTGGGGACTGCTGGGTTTACACCCTACTTCCTGTCTCAGAGAGGGGCTGTGTTAGAGGGGTGGGAGGCAGCAAAGCAGACAGAGCTATCAGTCCCTGAGAATGGGGGACCCATTTTTGGGGGCAGCCACATCCAGGGATGCCCCAGTTTGCCCTCCGGTGGGTACTAGGAACTGAAAACCCAGAGAGTGCCAGCTTCTTCCAGGGTGGGAGCACAGGCTCAGAGAGGCTGGGGGAAGTGCCAGAAGCCATCAGGGCAGGTTGACAGATGTGTTTCTAGCATCTGCCTCATTCCTGGTGCTTGGCAGATGGGGCGCGGGGACCAGGCAGCTGAAAACCTGGATCTGTTTCAAACAGCTCCATTTCCCAGGCTCAAAGCAGAGCATTTCTGCAGGGCAGCCATAAAACCAGTGCCACAGGGTCTCTCCAACCAAAGTTTCACTAGAATGCGGCGTAAGCCTGGTTTTGTTGAGAGGGAATCGTGTGGCCCAGTGAGCACTCTCTGGCTTATGAAACCCCTTGCTTCTGCACCTGTACTTGTAGCTCTGCATGTCACATTTGGAGCCTTCAGACACCTGACAACCTTGAGATATGCCCATTTACCAGATGAGACTGTCAAGGTGAAGGCTGACTTGACCTTCCAGAGCCATGCTGTCCAATTCACTAGCCACTATCCACAAGCTATTCAGAATTGACTTATATTGTCAGTGTATTGAAAATACTCTCTGCATTTTGAAAAAAAAAGAAATAAAGTATCTCAATAATATTTTTATATTGATTTTATATTATGTTGAAATAATAGTATTTTGGATATATTGGGTTAAATAAAATTTATTATTAACATTATTTTCACCTATTTTTACTTTAAGAAAATGTGGCCACCAGAAAATGTGAAATGACACACAGAGCTTGCTTTCTATTTCTTTTGTACTGTGCCGTCCTAGAGGGCAGGCCTTGTAGCATCATCCTCAAAGACATTGTGCCTGTGTCACCAGCAAAATTTGCCCAGGAGCCCTTATTGCTGGATATTGCTAGGTCCTGGAGGCATGGGCTATCCCTTCCCCTGTTGCCCAGAAAGTGAGAACTGTGTCCTCAGGGACCCTGGTCAGCTGTTTCCAAAGAGCAGTGACTGCAGATGCAACTTTGGTTACTCCTGCCAGTTTCTGCTGATCTGCTACCCCTGGCACCTAGATACAGTCCCTGTGCTGGGTCCCAAGGCTCATGGCTACTCCCTCTAGACCCAAAGACAGGCTCCAGAGGGGTCTCTTGGGGGGCATCCAGGGGCTTCTCTTCCTGTTCCTTATGGTGGCTGGGCTTGTTCCCGGCTGACCCACAGGAACTGGGCTGCCCTACATCTCCTGCCTTGTACCTCCTCTGCCTTGATGGGCTGCCAGGTTCTAGGCAGGTGCCCCTGGAAGCTGAAGCAACCTTGGGAAGCACGGAGGAGGGGATGTCTTGCTGTAGCCACCTCAATCCTGAGTAAACCTACCCCCCTCCACCACTACAAGGGGCACTTTTTCAGCTGTGGGCAGCATAACACATCCTTAGCGCTAAGGGAGCAGTGGGGACAGGGTGCTGTCACTTTGTTCAGTGTCTCAGCCCAAACTCTCCCCTTAAAGATGGACTCATCCCTTTACTTAAAGGTGCATCCTCTTTGGACCCTCCAAGGGCCCCCAGGATTCCCCGTTTTCCAGGAAAAGCTCACCCTTTTGGGGGTGGGTGAAGACGAGCTTCATCTGCATCCCCCCTCCTTGAGTAGATATTTATGGAGCACCCACCTCCTGGCAGGCACCCTACAAGCACTGGCCACACAGTAGTAAACAAAAGCAGCTGCACCCTGGCCTCTCAGAGCTCCCTCTAGTGGGGGAGACACGTGCTGATCTAGAAATCACACCCAAGTCTCCTTACAAACTCTAAGAGCTACTTGCAAAGGATGCGAGAAACGGATCCAGTTTTGAGTGGAGGTGGTTGGGGTCAGGGAAGGCTTCCCTGAAGATGCGATACTTCAGCTGACATTGTATTTTGGAAACTTTGGTTTTCCTCCCACACCGCTCCTAGGAAAGGGTCTTGAGGATCGGATGAGGCTGGAGAACATTTACCAGCTTGGCCTGAGGCAGAATTTTCTGGAAGGAAAACTTTAATAAGAACAGAGAAAGAGATCTAGAAAAATCAGCACATTTTAGCGTTAAGCCTTAAGAGTAAGATCAGGCTGCAACTGGGAGAGGAAGGGAGGGTTGGAATCCACAGTGGATAGAGGCAAGAGGTTCAAGGCCAAGGGGGTGAATGGTGATGGGGTGTGGGCCTCCCTCCCGGGTAAAGCTCCTGGCTGCTGCAGTGATGGCTTAACAGATCTGTGCAGGGCTGCACATTGCATATTTGGTGTTTTGATGGAGCCTCTGTTTTACTGGGTCTCATAAAAGCTTCCAATGATAGAGTATGCCTGATGGGGAGCCCAATGTTGGAAAGAGCCCTGAACCACGAGACCTGGTTCCAACCCTGATTTTGCCCCCGACCCACTGTGTGACCTTGGGTGAACCCTCTCCCCTCTCTGGAATACAACCTCCTCATCTGTAAAATAACGGGGCTGGACTGGGTGACCTACAAGCCCACATGCACATCTCGGGTTCCAGGACTGTGGGAGTCAATGACGTGCTTGACTGAGCCGTTCCTAGTTGTAGCCGAGAGGTCGAGGTTCAAGCCTGTTATGAAGCCACCGCTCAGATGCTGCCACTTCTGATATTAATTTCTTTTCTCCCCATGAGACATGGAGGGCTTTATGAATGACTCCAAGAATTGCTTCTGGCCTTGGGAACGGAAGCTGGCCCTGAAAGCCAATGGAGCTGAAACCCTAGAGCACCTGTACCCCAGGCTTTGGTGAATTGACCCAAATAATTTCTCCTACGAGCAAGCTGTGGCTGAACTCTCGAGAATGGGGAGCTGGTGACAAACTTTCATTCTGATTGTCCCCAGAGCCATGCTCTGCTTCATTTGAATCCAGAGTAGAGAAAGCCCTGATTTTATTGAAAGTACAAAGTCATGGATGTGGGGTTGTTCTATTGTGAGTTAGAATCCTGTAACCAGTGGACTAACTCTGGGTCACCTCCATGAGCCTTAGTTTCTTTATCCATAAAATAGGAGACAGTGAAGTCACCTACCTTCACCAAATTATTAGGAGATGAAAATGAGCTTGTTATCTTATATCATATGCAAGCACCTGGTAAAATTTAAAGCTATATGAAGTTTATCATTATTATAAAATAAAAAACAACAATAAAAATATCCCTGTTAGATGAAAAAATGTATCTCTAGAGCTTAGAGATGCTAATGCTAATAAAGGTATCCTTCCTTTGCACAGTACTTTATCTAATAAAGCACTACTCTATGTTCATTATCTCATTTTTTTCTCACCAGGACTATGAGGCAGGTGTCATCACTGCTATGTTTCAGATGGGCAATGGCTCATGAAGGAGAAGTAGAATGCCTGAAGTCACAGCTACCTGGAGGGACATCAACCCCAATCTGATTGCCTCTAAGTCGGGTGTTTTCTCACCGTCTATGTTCTTTGGACTGGACATCCAGCATTGCCTCTCCCTTGCAGTTCTTGGGATGGCCACTGTCCTTTACTGGTAGGTGTTGGTCACTCAAACCTGTGACCCTTTGGCTAGAGGGGCTTTGAGAGTGGACACACACCCCTTTTTTTACATGGTCAGGAGGAGCTGGCTTAGAATAGCTTTGTGGGACACTGTTGTCCAGGAAGCTACATGTCAGCTTCATGCTCAGGTGAGTGATGGCTAGAGCCAGGGTAGACTCTTCTGTGCCCTGCCTGGCCTGAAAGGCAGGTGTGGAGAGGGGCGGACAGACTGCGAAGGTGAGAAATCTATGGAAGGATATCAATCACTGGCTGATGTTTCAACAAGAGGAAGATCCTCAAACAAGCCCCAATGCCACCCGACAGTTACTCCCTTATGTCTTCCTGCCCTTCCCCAGGCCAAGGGCCATGCACTAATTCATGCTAAAACTTCAGCCCTGCTCTTTAGAAGCTCACAGTCATAGTATGGAAAAGCTGTCTGGGTGGCTACTGGAGATCTGCTAGCATAAAAGTTTCTGATTCCTTTCCAGCTAAAAATGAAAATGTCTTTTTAGGGGGAAAAAAATAAATAAATCCCCAGAAACAACACCTTATCAGAATAATAAAATTAAATTATAACAGGGCTGTCAGAGACACAATATCTGAGGGTGACAATATGTAATCTCGGTAAAAACATCGGATCTGTCCGTTTATAGATCTAATAAATTATGTTAGAATTGTGCTCTTATAAATCCAGGCTGTCGAGGAAACCCAACAACTAATTCATCAGTTGCTCATCGAGAGGTCTGCTTCTCCATTTCAATTGCTCACCATGTAGATAACAAGGAGCCTTACAGACTGGCTGGTTAAATGTCATTTGTTTCAGAGCTGTAACACGGCACGGATCATTGCTCACACATCGTCACCCAATTATATTAACCTGTGCAGCAATACGGTGTAATGACATGACATTAACGCAGCCACTTCAGAGGGGCGACAACTTCCCTTCTCACAGAGGCTGGAGCTGCCGCCTTCTCCCCAACCTCTCCCTTGTCATTTAAATGCAAAATAAAAGCTCTTGAATGGAAGGAGCAGAGAGTCAGTTCTCTCTGGCTGAAATTTAAAATATTCTATGCTTTATCTTCTGTGAGCTATGAGGGGCTTGCCTGCTGAGTTTTTTGTTCAGCAACTCAATTTTCCCAAAGGACGAGGTTTCCACCCTCCTCCTGAAATTCACAATTTTTTTGTCTTCAAGGGCAGTTCTGAGATTGCCCCCAAAATAAGGAATAAGGAGATGACTGAATTGGGGGATGAGAGGTACAGAGACAGCCCTATTTACAGAGGTAAATTACAAGGCACAGAACCCTTCTTGGGGTTTATGGCATTTTGGGGTATCCAGTTTCTTTTTTCTTTTTCTTTCTTTTTTTTTTTTTTTTTGGAGACAGAGTCTGGCTCTGTTGTCCAGGCTGGAGTACGGCGGTGTGATCTCAGCTCACTGCAACCTCTGCCTCCTGGGTTCAAGCAATTCTCCTGCCTCAGCCTCCTGGGGCATATGCCACCACGCCCGGCTAATTTTTGTATTTTTAGTAGAGACGGGATTTCACCATGCTGGCCAGGATGGACTCGATCTCTTGACCTCATGATCTGCCTGTGTCAGCCTCCCAAAGTGCTGGGATTACAGGCGTGAGCCACCGCGCCCGGTGGGAGTATCTAGTTTCTTTTGTCTTGTCAGAGATACAAGGAGAAGATGAACACGCCAGTTGATTTCAGAGCCTGTGTTTCTCATTCTTGGCACTGCTGACACTTGGATTACCGTTTGTCGTGGGGGTCTGTCCTGTGTTGTGGAATGCTTAGCAGCATCCCTGGTGTCTACCCACTAGATGCCAGTAACATTTCCCCACCGGTTGTGACAACCAAAAATGTCTCTAGACATTGCCAATTGTCTGCTCAGGGGCAGAATCGCACCCTGTTAAGAATCATTGATCTAGGGCAAAATTTTTTACTCTATAAATCTCCAGTAAATATTTACAGAGCACCAGATCTGTGCTGGATTTGGGGCCCTTCAAGTTGCTTAGGAATTTCTTCATAAAAGAGAGGCCTGTCTCAGAACTCCCAAAGTCTCTGTCCTTGGCAGACAGAGAGGTGGTTATGTCCTTCAGGTTTTTCATGTTGAATCCCATCTCTGTTTAATAGCCCTGAAACTTTAGGACTCTTGCTTCATCTGTACAATGGGGATAATAATAGCACTGATGTCACTGAGCTGTTGTAAGAATTAAATGATTTATACAGGCAAAGTACTGAAGGCCTGGCACACAGGAAGCCTTTGGTACTTGGTTTAATTTTCATTAAAGCTCACTCATCAAGGATCCTTTGGATCCTGGGGACAAGGAGTTAGCCCAAACCTCAAGGACAGAACCTGGCCGGGGGTTAGGGACAGGCAAAACAGGTCTCCCTAAGCAGAGCTTCTATCCTAGTAAAGGAAATCAAGGAAGTAGCCCATGAGGACAGACTATGCATGCCTAGGAGAGGCTCATAGGTACCAGTGCTGACCACTTTAAATAAATCAACCATTTAATCAACCAATAGCATTTTTACGTGCCATGTGCCGTCATTAGTACTTTTCAAATATTATATCACTTACACCTCACAATAACTATGAGAGAGATCATTTTACAGATGGGGAGACTGAGGCACAGAAAGATTTAGTAACTTCCTCAGTGTGGACCTTAGATTTGTACCCAGGCAGCCTGCTTCCAGAGTCCACACTTTCAGCATCCATCTTTTTTATTTTTTTGAAGATGGGGTCTCACTCTTGCCGAGATGCAAATGTAGTGGTTACGATCATGGCTCACTGCAGCCTTGACCTCCCCAAGCTCAGGTGATCCTCTTACCTCAGTCTTCCAAGTAGGTGGGACTATGGGAGCATGCCACCATGCCCAGCTAGTTTTCATATTTTTTGTAGAGATGGAGTTTCACTGTGTTACCCAGGTTGGTCTCAAACTCCTGGACTCGGGTGATCTGTCCACCTTGACCTCTCAAAGTGCTGAAATTACAGGTGTGAGCCACTGTGCCTGGCCCAGCACACATCTGTGATGGGGATAAGAGAGTCCCTGCTCTGCTCAGGGTTAACTTAGGGGTAAGGCAAATGATATGGTTTGGCTGTGTTCCCACCCAAATCTCATCTTGAATTGTAGTTTCCATAATTCCCATGTGTTGTGGGAGGGACCTGGTGGGAAGTAATTGAATCATGGGAGTGGTTTCCTCCATGCTATTCTTGTGATAGTGAGTAGGTTCTCATGAGATCTGATGGTTTTATTAAGGGCTTCCCCCTTTACTTGGCTCTTACTCTTCTCTCTCCTGCTGCCATGTGAAGAAAGATGTGTTTGCTTCCCCTTCTGCCATGATTGTAAGTTTCCTGAGGCCTCCCAAGCCCTGCCGAATTGTGAGTCAATGAAATCTCTTTTCTTTATAAATTACCCACTCTTGGGTATGTCTTTGTTAGTAGCATGAGAATGGATTAATACAGCAAGGTCAGAGGTCTGGGAAGACTGAGGCAGAGAGCTGCCCATCTCCTATTGTAAGCTTGCCTCCCTGTTTCTTTTTAAGTTGGTCACCTTTGTTTTGTCTTCCCTACCTTTCCACTGAAATGTTTATGGAAACACACAAATACTGACATATTTAATAGCACCAGGATCCTGGAATATTAATCTGTGATATGCATCTAATTTCCTTCAACCAAAACAGATGAAGTATTGAGGCAGAGGGTGGGGCCAAATGGGGAAAAGGCTAAAGGCAGCCTCAGTCTACCCATTCCCAACCTGTATCTATATCTCTAAATGAGTCCTTCAGAGAGAAGGAAGCCTTCCTCACCCCTACTCTGTAGGAATTATGTTCTGAGGAGGCCAGGGTTCTAGATTCCCTCACTCCACCCTAGCAATGCTCTTCCAGCAGTTCAGTGACCAGCACTCTAATGCCACTCGGGTGGAAGTACATACAATAGGTAATGGCCATGTTGGAATGTGGGTCTGGCTTTGGGAAGGAGCTAATCTTGAGACAGACATGGGCATTCAGGGGTTGGAGTTTGAATTTACTGTTCACACAGATTATTCAGGAGTATGTGACCTTCTCGTAGTAACATGATCAGTTGGCTGGTTTCTGAGACAGCCTATAACTCCCTGTGAACCATCGGAATTATAGTAAATATGAGACTAAAAACACTGGAAGTTGAAGAGAGAATTAGAGGCTGTCACATGCTCCAGCTCTCTGGCATAAGTTCTGGGCTTAAGGATTCAAATAGCACCCAGATGGCCAGCAAAGAAGAACCAAAGAAAGTCTTATTTTTAATTTTAATTTTTTTTTTTTAGCAAAAAAGTCCTATGTCTAGGCAGACTTGGCTTTATTTTCTTTCTTTTGTTGGATCAGAAATGAGTAAATAGAGGAAGAAAAGAAGCGCATGAGGCTTCAGAGAAAATCTGCCTCACAAAACAGAGAACATGTTACTCACAACGTAGAGAAAGAACTTACTTTTGAAAAAGATTGATGATAGTAAACTGAAGAACATTTTAGAACACATCTGACTTGTCTTTTCAGCAAAATTCATGGAAATATGTAGTTTATGATACAAGAAATAAAAATAAGATGATGATATGCCAATGTATGACATGAAGGGAGCAAGCTGAGAGGAGTTAGAAATAAAATAAGGTAAATGAAATTCATAAAGATGAAATATAAAGAAGCAAAATTAAAATTAATGTTAGATGCAGCACAGAGCAGAATTGGCAAGGTAGAAAATAGTCAATAATCACTTAATCTGTATGCCTCTATGCCTCAATGTCATCATCTGTTCAGTGGTGATAACCATGGTGCCTGCTCATGGAGCCGTTTGAATAGTAAATGACATAAAGCATGTAAAGCTCTTAGCAGAGTATCTGGGATGAGGTATGCTTTTAATAAATATTAGCTATTATTTTTCTAATTAAAAACTTAATGTAAGAAATTAATGTGATCACAAAAAGTGAGTTTTTAGAGATTTTAATTGTGCATTTGAACTAATAATAG